CATAATCTTCAGCTGGGCTGCGTGCCTCGGGCTCCTCGTCTCATCTCCCCGCCTTGCGTCTCCCCCACCGCCCAAAAGACAACCCCAACGTTCCTGCCGGAATTCGATCGCGTTGCTCCTGCGTGTCAGGTCCTTTGACTGCCCTTCTAGGGGCCACCGTTTCCCATGTGGCATCCGAGGCCCTGCTGGGCTAGGCTTCTGCCACCTCGGGCCCGTTCCTCAGCAGCCCTATCAAATGATTCCTTCAACGTGTCGTGTTGTCTCACATCTCTATCTTACTCTTCCTTCTGCCTAGAATACCCACTCCCTAACCCCACCCCTACCCCTGGCCTGCAGCGTCCCAGTCCCCCTCCAAGACTCTTTCTGTCACCACCTCCTGCGTCTGTGCCTCTTTCCCCAACCTCCCTTCCCCCGGAAAATGAGGCATTTCTCCTTTATCTCTCATTTGTCAGTGCTATGGCTTTGGGGAAGGTTACTTAACTGCGCTGTCCCTCAGTTTCCTCACAGCTGAATAGAAACAATGATTCCCACCTCATTGATTATTGATACAAATGTTGAAAAGAGTAATCACTTCAGTAGACCTTAGCTTTTGATATTCTCATCATCATGTTGCATTGCGTTCATGTGGTTACAGTCTATATCCCTCCTACCTCTCCCTGCCCCCTTACTCCCCCAGGCTGTAGCGCTTTTGAGAGTTGTGAACAGCTCTTCCTCATCTTTATAATTCCAGCATTGACTCTGGTACGTAACTCACAGCCTGAAAGCACTTGGGTAGGTAGGTGGGTGAACGTGTGAGTGAGGGGGTTAATGATCAAGTCTCACGTGCCCATCACATATTCTTTTTTTTCTTTCTTTTTTTTAAGGATTTGCTGTATTTTTAAAAATATATATATTTTATTGATTTTACACAGAGAGGAATTGAGAGGGGCAGAGAGTTAGAAACGTTGATGAGAGAGAAACATTGCCTCTTGCACACCCGCCACTGGGGATGTGCCCGCAACCAAGGTACATGCCCTTGACCGGAATCGAACCCGGGACCTTTCAGTCCGCAGGCCGATGCTCTATCCACTGAGCCAAACCAGTCCCGGCACATCACATATTCTTTTGACTAGTGGTGGTCAACATCTTTTTAAAAAAAATACGTTTATTGATTTCAGAGAGGAAGGGAGAGGGAGAGATAGAAATAATGAGAGAGAATCATTGATTGATAGAATGGTTGGCTGCCTCCTGCACACCCCCTACTGGGGATTGAGTCCACAGTCCCGGGCATGTGCCCTGACCTGAAATCCAACCGTGACCTCCTGGTTCATAGGTTGAGTCACACCGGCCGGGCTTGAACATCTTTTCCTGTGCTTACTGCCCACTTGTTGACCTGTTTTGGAGAACTATCTAAATCCTTTGCCCATTTTTAATTTGGATTTTTTTTTTTTTTAATGTTGAGTCGTTCTAGTTCTTCTGGATACCTGCCTCCTTCCAGATACATGATTTACAAGTATTTCTCCCATTCTGTGGTCTTTTTCATTTTATAGAGCTCTTTGAGCATAGCCGTTTTTAAGTTTGAAGTCCAGCTTATCTTTTTTTTGAAGTCCATCTTATCTTTTCTTTTATCGCCTGTGCCTTTGGCGTCATCCAGAAAACCCTTGCCTAATCCAAGGCCATGAAAATTTATCCTTAAACTTTGTTTGAAGAGTTTCATGCATTTAGATCTTCAACCCATTTTTCAGTTAGTTTTTATGTATAGTGTGAGGTAGGGGTCTAACTTCATTTTTTTGCCTATGGATATCCATTTGTTGAAAAGACCCTTCCCTGCTCCCCCCACAGAGTGTCGGAATTAAGGTCCTCAGATCGGCAGCTCCTTACACCTCTTCTTTTGAGGCCTTATCTGTTATTTCTGTCATTTTTTGGGATGTTTTAGCTGCCATCGAGATGTACTGGGCTTGTTTGACATCCTGGCTCTGGGACTCTGGCTGGTTTGACGCAATGTCCGTGCCACCACCACCACCCCCCCCCCCCACCCCCCCGCCAGGGACACTTGAGTTTGTGGCCAGTGAGGCCTCAGGCCTGGCTCCGCAGCTGTTTATACCTGCCATTCCTGCGTAGGAGGGGAGGGGCCTGTTTGGATCTTGGAATTTTTGAAATTTTGTTTATTCAGTTCTTTGTCAAAGAAGCTAGACCTTGGAAGGTGGCCCCTGTGCTGCCCTATCCACCTGACAAAGCTCTGGGTCGCCCGCCCTGGTTGCTCAGGTTGTGATGATCTGAAGAGTGCGTTGTTCACAGGAGGTGAACTCTGTATCAGAATGTTCTGCACTGCCGAAACCGGTTTGGCTCAGTGGATAGAGCGTTGGCCTGCGGACTGAAAGGTACCAGGTTCGATTCCGGTCAAGGCGATGTACCTGGGTTGTGGGCACATCCCCAGTAGGGGGTGTGCAGGAGGCAGCTGATCAATGTTTCTCTCTCATCGATCTTTCTACGTAACTCTCTATCCCTCTCTCTTCTTTTCTGTAAGAAAATCAATTATTTACATATATATAAAATAAATAAATAAGTATATATATATATAAAAGAATGTGTTCCGTGCTGTGAAGAGAGGGAGAAACCAGCCTGGTTTTCATTTCTCCGGCAGCACATGTGCTTCTCTGCACCTCCTGTTGGCGCCCACCATACGAAGGGCGTCGAGGTATTAGCTGTGAACCCCTCCCGGGGGCATGAGGATTCTGGGGGGCTCTCACCCTCTTTGCCTTTAGTCCAAGCCTGACGTGTTCAGAGCATGGTCTGAGGGCATGCACAGCCTCTGCTGACTCCACAGCCACGGGAAAGCCATTGAACCTCCAGCTCCAGTTTCCTCATCTGAACAGCAGCCTCTCACTGGGTTACTATTGGGGAAATTAGGGAATATCCTCTGTGAGGTATGAGCACAATGGTGCGTACTCAGCAGGTAGCCACCTTCTCTGCTGTCACCGTCCTTGTCGTTCCTTCCTGTTTAGGTCACCACAGTTCCTGACGTGCCATTCTCAAATCCAAAGGCTCTGGAAGCTGATCTTTTTTTTTTTTTTTAACTGCTCCTCCGGCAGCAAGACCGGACCTGCACACTGCGTGGGCCAGTTTGGCGTTACCACTGCGAAACGTGCACCTGGGGGCAGCCCCGGCCCTCCTGGGACGTGGTGTGAGCACAGCGCACGGACACCCCGAGACCCTTTGCTGCTCGGAGGAGGAAGCGTAACCGGCGTGAGGCTGCCCTGGAGGCGGGCAGGCCTGACGGAGCTTGGTGTGGCTTTGTGGGCGATGAGGACGAAGGGGTCAGTGGAGCTGGGTTTAGCATCCCTCCCCCTGCCCCCTGTGGAGTTCAGAGCGAGCCGAGCTGGACTGAGATCAGAGCAGCAGCGCCTCGTGGTGTGGGCCCCACGGTTGTCAGAGGCCCTGCGGTCTCCTCGTATGCTACCTACCGGCTGCTGGGAAAGTAAACCTGAGGGAAGGATCCACTCGGTGTCTGTGCCCAGAGGTGCGTGGTGGTCAGAGTACGAGAGCTTTTCAGCTCCGGAGGGGCCGCTACCCGGCAGGAGAAAAATCGATGTGGGTGAGGTTTTATTCGCGGAGCAAGGTGGACCGTCTCCCTGATGTGGTTGACGGTTTCTAGGCAGCCCTGTGGTGCTGGCGGAGTTGTGTGTCATGGGAGAGCAAGGAGGGCCTCGGCACAGTCGTGGTTCTGTGACCTGCAATTCAAAGGCAAAGGCTGGGCCTGGACGGAAAGCTCGCTGAGCCGGCTGAAAAGGGGCTCTGAGTGTTAACTGCCATTTCGATCTGATAGTTTTGGGATGAGTCATGGTCTCTCTGACAGGCGAACCACTCTGCAGCAAACCCGTGCTTAGACTAGACACACTCAGCATCCTGGTCCTCCCCGCTTCCGATCGGAGGTAGACGGGGGACCTCAGCAGAGAGCGTCCCCCGGGAGCTGAGCGGGAGCTCCGCCACCGGTTCTGGTCTGCGGGAGGCTTGGCTGGTGGCAGCACGCAGGGCCTCTGCGCAGGACTCCGGCGCGTCAACAGTATCGACCTGCCTGTTTCCCTCTGAGTCACGGGGGAGGAAGAGTTTGGAGCCCATTTCGAGAAGGTCTCAGAAATCAGGGCTCCTTGGGGGATTACTGTCTCGTTCTCCTGGGGTCCGTTTGGGGTATTGAGCACATTGCGTGTCCATCGTCTTGTGGAAGGAAAGCGGTGACCAGGCACCCTTGATCCCCGCCTTCCTGAGCCCCCGGTCCCAAAGGGGAGGCCTGCTGACAGGCGCGGGGGCCCCGGGCGGGTGGTCATGGAGCCCCGGGGGAGGAGCGTGGTGTGTGCCTGGGGCCTGCAGGACGAGCAGGCGTCAGCCGCGTGGAGCGGGGAGGGTGTTCCTGCAAACAGGGCACAGAGGCGAGCCGAGGCCCTGTGCGGCCTCTCCGGGGAAGCACGGTCACAGGGCCTGTCCTCCCGCGGGAGGGCCGAGCCAGGGCGTCCGTCAGAAGCTGGAGTGGCCGCTGGGTCGGGTTCCTGAGGCTGCATATACGAAGAACCACGACGGGGTGGTTTAAAGCAACAGCAACTTCAGTCTCTCACAGCTCGGAGGCCCGAAGCCCAGCATCGAGGTGTGGACAGGGCCATGCCCGCTCCCAAGGCTCGAGGGGAGGATCCTTCCGCATCTCTCCCAGCCTCGGGCACCGACTGGCGTTTCTCGGCTCCTCGAGGCATCACTCCCGCCACACGGCCGTCTTGGCCCTGTGTCTTCACACAGGCTGCCTCTAGGCTGTGTCCACACGGCCCCCTTGTGTGAGGACACCAGTCATGGTGGGTTCGGGCTCATCCCAATGACTGGGCTTTACTCTGTAAAGACCCTGTTTGCACGTAAGGTCCCATTCTGAGGTCCCGGGGTGACACGCTGACGCACACACACACATATGTATATACTTTTTGGGGGTCTGGCCCTCCCTGTAGCCTCGCATTTCACCGGTCCTGTGTGTTCTCCCGCAGAACCGGGCCATAGGGAGGCCCAAAGGGAAGCTGGGCCCCGCCTCCGCGGTGAAGTTGGCCGCCAACCGGGCCACCGCGGGAGCTCGCCGGCGCCGGACGCGATGCCGCAAGTGCGAGGCCTGCCTGCGGACCGAGTGCGGCGAGTGCCACTTCTGCAAGGACATGAAGAAGTTCGGGGGCCCCGGGCGGATGAAGCAGAGCTGCATCATGCGGCAGTGCATCGCGGTGAGTGGGCAGGAGGGGCCTCCGGCGCTCCGGGCCCCGGCCCCCCTCGGCAGGAGGCCCCAGGCCCCTCTGCACCTGGCCGGGTGGTTTCTCTGCTTACGGAGGAGGTTCCCACAGCTGCAGCTCCTGGGAGACGCGCCCACTGGAAAGAAAAGGGGCTCCGACGAGCGCTGTTTTCAAATCCCACAGGGCAGGGCTTCCTGCCAGGTGCCCGGGCCCCTTGGGCCCCTTTTCCTTCATCGTCTGATGGTCTGACACCTCCTTCCTTCCCTGGATGGCCGGGCGCTTTGAAGTCTCTGCCATTAGCGTGGTGAGGGCAGCCTATCCTGTCTGTGACCCCGCTGCCGGCATTTACGATCCAGTTCGTGGAGGCCCTCCCTTCCTTCCTGTCCTACCTTCAAAGTCAGAGGTCTGGGTGGAAGGTCAGTCTCCTCCTGGAGGGGCAGCCCCGGAGAAAGAGGGCTGATTTATGGGGCTCGGGGCTACTGCAGAGCCTGGCCAGCCCCCCAGACCGCCTGCCTCCCTCGCCTCGGGACACAGGCTCTGACAGCTTGGCGTGTCCCGTGGTCTGCCTGTAGGTTCCCTCCTGCATACACCCACACAGGGTGCTGCTTTCAAGGCCCCGGGGTTCTCTGTGGGGATAGTGACCTCCGCTCAGGCGGAGGGAGAGGGCTCTGGGCAAGCCGCCCCGAAGGCCCAGCCTGGCACCCCGAGCCTGCTGTGCCCCCCATGCCCAGGGGCCCCTCCCCGTGGTCCCTCCATGTGCACACACACAACTTTGTTTTTTATTGTGAAAAATACATAACAAAATTCACAATTTTAACTTTTGAGGTTTTTGGGGCAAAATAAATATATTTTTGTGCTATATTCAATACATATGTGTAAGGTTTTTTTTTTTTTTTGCAGCAGAAATGTTTTATTCGTACTTAAACTTACTAAAAGTCAATAAGCTCCAATAAATTATCACAATATATTTTCACTTTTTATTTTATTTTTATTTTTTGTTGATTTTTTACAGAGAGAAAGAGAGAGGGATAGAGGGCCAGAAACATTGATGAGAGAGAAACATCAATTAGCTGCCTCTTGCACACCCCCTACTGGAGATGTGCCCGCAACCAAGGTACATGCCCCCAACCAGAATCAAACCTGGGACCTTTCAGTCCGCAGGCTGACGCTCTATCCACTGAGCCAAACCGGTTTCAGCTAATTTTATCGTTACTTGTACTTATTTCCTATACAGACATGCAAAAATCCACTTCCCCAATCTATACAACCAAATAAACAGATATATCCATTTCAGTGCACAAATAAAACATTTTTCTTCTGATCAAACAGGTGGTTTATGTTGTGCATCCATTATTTTTGATCTCTTATTTTTTATAATTTTTTAAAAAATATATAGTTTACATTCAGTATTATTTTGTATATTGGTTTCAGGTGTCCAGCATCGTGGTTAGACAATCGTCTGCTTTACACAGTGCTCCCCCTGATATTTCCAGTCTCCACCTGGCCCTGTATGTAGCTAGCACAGTACTATTGACTATTTCCTATGCTGTCCTTCACGCCCTCGTCATTTTAACCGGTTTTGAGTGTGTAGTACAGTCACACAACCTCCATGCCCATTGTTGTGAAACCGATATCCGGGACGTTTTCATCTCGCCAAACGGAAACTCTATCTCCATTAAACCACAACTCCTCTTTCCCCCTCCCCACCCACCAGCCCCTGGCAGCCGCCTTCCTACTTTCTGCTTCTCGCCGGGACTCCTTCAGACACTGCGTGTGCGTGGAAGCAGACGGGGTTCCTCTCTCTGGGACTGGCTTATTCCGTCCAGCGTAATCCTCTTACAAGGCTCATCCAAGCGGCAGCCGTGATGGGGTTCCATTCTTTTTAAAGGCTGCGTGATACTCCGTCGTGTGTTAGCTCCTGCGTTTCCTCGTCCTTCTCTCTGTCCTTGAACATTAAGGCTGCTTCCGCCTCCGTTGTTAATGATGCCGCGACGAGCGTGAGTGTGCCGGTACCTCTCGGAGGTCCTTTTTTGGATTCTTTTGTATATATTCCCAGAAGTGGGATTGCTGGGTCCTGTTTTTTTTTTTGTTTTTTTTTTTTAAGTTTTTGAGGGACCTCCACACTGGTTTTCATAGTGGCTGCGCCATCTCACCTTCCCACCAGCTGGGCATGAGGGTCCCCATTTCCCCGTGTTTCTTGTGGTCTCCACGGTTTCTTGTTACTTTCTGTTTGTTTTTATTTTATTGGAGTGGCCGTCCCATTGGCTGTGAGGTGTGATGCCTCGTGGTGGCTTTGGTTTGCGTTCCCCTGGGGAGTGACACTGAGCATCTTTCCGTAGGTTTCAATCCGTGAGGACGATGTCTGTGGGCGTTTTTGGAGAAATGATTTGAAGTCCTCTGCCCAACGTATAAACTGGATTGTTTGTATTTTTGTTGTTGTGAAGTGGGAGTCCTTCATATAATTTGGACATTGGCCACTTACTCACATAAATGATGTGTAAATACTTCCTCCCATCCATAGGTTGCCTTCTCACTCTGTGGGTTATGTCCTGTGCTGCACAGAAGCTGTTAAGTTTCGTTGCTTCTGTTTTGGTTACATGTACCCAGGTCACATGAATGGATTTCAGGGAATCTGAGATCCCCCTTGACATGAAATACAGATTTGTATCTGTGTGCACGTGTGGCTGTGTTTTTGTAGAGCTGGTGATGGGACTTGTGATGTTCTGTCAGGATGTGAGAGGTTGTCTGTAGAGACTCTTGTTTTTGAAAACAGTGTTGCCTAAAACTTGTTGGCCATGACCCAGGACTGTCTCTCCTTTTTAGTCTTGTTTTTTCTCTTCTACCCTCTCCTTCCTGCCCGGTGTCCCAGGCCCAGTTAGAGGAAACCTGTCTCTGCTACTCTGGTATCACCTATTCTTTATTTATTTTATATATATATATATATATATAACTATAAATAATTGATTTCAGAGAGGAAGGGAGAGAGAGATAGAGCCCTCGCCAGTTTGGCTAGGTGGATAGAGTGTCAGTCCTGTGGACTGAAGGGTCCTCCCTGGCCCAGGCCCTAGTCAGGGCTTGTATAGGAGGCAACGGATTGATGTGTTTCTCTCCCATCCATGTTTCTCTGTCTTTCTCTTTCTCTTCTAAAAATCAATGAAAAAAAAAACAACCTTGGGGTGAGGATTAAAAAAGTGAGAGAGAGCCAAAACCAGCTTGGCTCAGTGGTAGAGCGTCGGTCTGCGGACTGAAAGGTCCCAGGTTCTATTCCGGTCAAGGGCATGTGCATCGGTTGCGGGCACATCCCCGGTAGGGGGTGTGCAAGAGGCAGCTGGTCGATGTTTCTCTCTCATCGACGTTTCTAGCTCTCTCTCTCTCTCCCTTCCTCTCTGTAAGAAATCAATAAAATATATTTTTTTAGAACAGTGAGAGAGAGAGGGAATACATCAGTGAGGAGAGAGAATCATCAATAGGCTGCCTCCTAGACACCCCACACTGGGGATTGAACCTGCAACCTGGGTATGTGCCCTGACCAGGAATCGAACCATGACCTCCTGGTTCATAGGTCAACGCTCAACCACTGAGCCACGCCAGGCAGGCCTGTCACCTGTTCTATCACCTATTCAGTTCTGGTTCCAGTTTGGTACCTGGCACAGTCAGTGCTGGTTGAAGGAAACCTCACATTGATGTGTCTCCTCCTTTCTACCCTGACGCGGCTTTGGGAACTGATCGCAAATGCAGGCTTGGCCTGACTGGGAGGTATGGGGGAGGCTTCTTATTCTCCCTGCCCTTGCACTTTGTCGGGAGGTTTTATCCGCCTGCTCCTTTTCTAGGCCTTCTCTCTCTCTTCCCACAGCAGCCTTCCCTTCGCCCCCTCTCCACGAGGCTTCCCCGCAGACCTGATCCCTTCCCACCGCCAGCACCCTCTCCGGCCCCTCGGCTTCCTCTCCTGGGTCTGTGCTTCCCTTCTGCTTCTGCCTCGCATCACTCTGTCACAGTCAGACGCCTTCCAGGCTAGACCAGCGCCCCTGGGTGTCCCAGTGTGCTCCCCTCTTCTCTCCTCTCTGAGCCCGAATTCCCTGGTTCTGTGCGTCCTCCAGCACCCTCCTCTGCTGCTTCCGGTAGCACCTGTGCGCGACCTCTCTCCGTTTCCTAGGATTTCTGCATGATCTGCCTTCCTCTTCCTAAAAACCTCGAGGAGCAACTGTCTCCCTCATCACTCCCCCCCCTCGGCCACTTGCTTCAGGCTTCAGCAGATGTTCCTTAAGTATTTGTTGAATGAATGATGACTCTTACCTTCCTTATGTTCTGTTTATTTGAATTTCAGTGTTTGTGCCATGTTGTAGATTTCCCCCCCACACTGGGATGTACAGTGGCGTATAGATCTGTGTATCCCTGCGCATTCGGAGCTCCTCTAACTCAGTTTGTTAAATATTGCCTGTGTGGTTCCTGTGTGGTTCCTCCTGCTCCCGTGCCAGGTGCCGGGGGCCAGGTGTGTGGAAAGGCAGCGTGTCCGGGCAGGGGGTTTAGCAAGCTCTCCCCTCTTCAATATCACTAAGACCCAAAGAGCTTTTGCTTATGTGCCTTGCTTACTTATTAAAATTACTATATTCAGGATTCACATTGAATTCATTAAAAAATAATGAGAAATCCACTTCATGAAAACATAAAACTTTTGCCAAAACCAGTTTGGCTCAGTGGATGGAGCTTCGGCTTGCGGACTGAAAGGTCCCAGGTTCGATTCCGGTCGGGGGCATGTACCGTACCTTGGTTGCGGGCACATCCCCCGGTGGGGGGGGTGCAGGAGGCAGCTGGTCGATGTGTCTCTCTCATTGATGTTTCTAGCTCTCTATCCCTCTCCCTTCCTCTCTGTGAAAAATTAATTAAAAAAAAAATATATATATAAAGAAGAAAAAAATTTTTCTTTTTTAAAAAAATTTCTTTATTGATTAAGGTATCACATATTTGTCCTCAAAAAACATAAAATTTCATGAGAAATGACTACATCTTCCAAGCAGAAATGGTCTGTGGGAAGAATGGCATTGTGTTGTGTTTTCATAAAATCTCTTTCACGCCCAGTCCATTAGAAAAGACCTGTATTTTTGTACCTGTTTCAATATTCATTGTGTTGCGATGTTTTAGCGCAGTGGTCAGCAAACTCATTAGTCAACAGAGCCAAATAGCAACAGGACAACGATTGACATTTCTTTTGAGAGCCAAATTTTTTAAATTTAAACTTCTTCTAAGGCCACTTCTTCAAAATAGACTCGCCCAGGCCGTGGTACTTTGTGGAAGAGCCACACTCAAGGGGCCACAGAGCCCCTTGTGGCTTGCCAGCCGCAGTTTGCTAACCACTGTTGTAGAGGAACCATATGAGGATTATCTGGCCTCAGCTGCGTGGTTGAAAAGGCAGGAGTGTTTTAACAATCATTTCAGGTCATCTTGGGTATTTTTTCAGTTATTCCACGAGCACTCAACGGGTGGCAGTTTCTTAACGGTTATTGTAACATGGACTCTGAGACTGTATCACTGAACTTTTTTGTACTTATGTAAATGCCAGGAGTCTTTCTCGCCTCTGGAATAGCTCATTTGCTCATGGGTGGTGGTGTAATATCACGCTTTGGCCATTTTGGAAAATACTGGTGCACCGAGTTATGCAGATTTTCTAAATATTGGTGCACAGCATTGTACAACGTTTAAAAAACGAACAGCACTAAAACCACATTTGCTAGCCCTGCTACCAACCCATCAGGAAGGTCTTCGCGTATGGGGAAGCTATTGGGTTCACAGTGGCTAACGACAGGCTCCCTTGTTTCGTCTTTGAGGAAATAATGCCAATACCTATGGGCTTTTTAAAAAATATATATTTTATTGATTTTTTACAGAGAGGAAGAGAGAGGGATAGAGAGCTAGAAACATCGAAGAGAGAGAAACATTGATCAGTTGCCTCTTGCACACCCCCTACTGGGGATGTGCCCACAACCAGTGTACATGCCCTTGACCGGAATGGAACCTGGGACCTTTCAGTCCTCAGACCGACACTCTATCCACTGAGCCAAACTGGTTTTGGCCCCATGGGCTTTTCTAAAAGTCCTTCCCCATTGAAGGATGTTCATTGAAGGATGGCCACGGAGTGCTTCTGCTCAGGTGGCCACTGCTCCGCGGGCAGCAGAAGCACTGCCTGCCCTGTGTTGTCACACAGAATGGTAAAGGGACCGAGGGGCAAGGTTTCATTTACTTATTAAGTTTATCTTTATTGTTTTTTTAAATATATTTTATTGATTTTTTACAGAGAGGAAGGGAGAGAGAGAAACATGACCAGCTGCCTCTTGCACACCCCCTACTGGGGATGTGCCCGCAACCAACATACATGCCCCTGACCGGAATCAAACCTGGGACCCTTCAGTCTGCAGACCGATGCTCTACCACTGAGCCAAACCGGTTTCGGCTTATCTTTATTGTTGAAAGTATTACAGATGTGTCATCCTCTTTCTCCCACTCCATCCCCCCCACACACACACCCTCCCTCCTCCCCGCCATTGACCCTCTGCATCCTGCTCTCGCCCCTCCCCAGGCCTTCACTGCACTATTGGGTTATGCATATATGCACACATGTGCTTTGGTTAATTTCTTCTTCCTGCTCCCACCTTTCTCTCTGGAGTATGTTGTCTGCTTCATGCTTCAGTGTCTCTGGTTCTATTTTTTTAAGGGTCCATGTCTTTTTAAAAAAATATATTGTATTGATTTTTTTACAGAGAGGAAGAGAGAGGGATAGAGTGTTAGAAACATCAATGAGAATCATCGATCAGCTGCCTCTTACACACCTCCACTGGGGATGTGCCCCCAACCAAGGTACATGCCCTTCACCAGAATTGAACCCGGGACCTTTCAGTCCGCAGGCCGACACTCTATCCACTGAGCCAAACCGGTTTTGGCAAGGGTCCATGTCTTAATAAAATTAATCATTTTTGCTGCCTCACTAAAGACACTCTGCAATGAAACTGGTGATCTTTTTAATGAGTGTGTGGCCAGCAGTCGCTCAGTGACTGCTAGTGCACGGTGAGCTCTGCCCCGTCTGGTGCCATCACTCAGCAGCGCATACTGTCAACACGGTGAGGAAGGCAGATGACATCTTAGTATTGTTCTTTTAAAAAAAAATTTAAAATATATTTTATTGATTTCAGAGAGGAAAGGAAAGGGAGAGAGAAGAGAAACATCAGTGATGAGAGGGAATCATTGATTGGCTGCCTCTTGCACGCCCTCTACTTGGTATGGAGCCCGCAACACGGGCATGTGCCCTTGACCAGAATCGAACCCGGGACCCTTCAGTTCTCAGGCTGACAATCTATCCACCGAGCCAAACTGTCTAGGGCTTGGTATTGCTCTGAAGGGGGTTTTGACCTACTTCCCAGTCCTCCTTGTGAAGGTTTTGGGGACCCCAGAGTCCATGGCCTGGGCTTTGATACCCCTGGGGCAACACAGCCTCAGTCCCCACAGAGCTGGACTCACTCCCCTCCTCCTTCAGGTCTCTCCTCAAGTCTGAGGCCCTCCCTGACCGCCACGTTCCAGATGAGCCCGCCTCCCACCCCTCACCCTGCCCTGCTTCCTGTGTTTTTCTCCATACCCCTACTCACCATATAACATACTGTATTCTCCACTTTGCCCGCCTCCCTCCAGTAAGATTCAAACTCAGGACAGCAGAGACGTTTACTGCTTTACTCCCAGCTCTAAGAGCAGTGAGCACCTGGCGCACAGAGGCAGTAGTCTTAAGTATTTGAATTGGTGACTGGGTGGGTCAGTGAATGACAGTGGCAGGCCGGAGGAGAGCAGCTCATGCCTTTGCCCCATGGGGTCCCGGCCCCTGTTGACTTCTGCTCCCCCCGGTTCTCCAGCCAGTGCTACCCCACACCGCCGTGTGCCTAGTGTGTGGCGAGGCGGGGAAGGAAGACACGGTGGAGGAGGAGGAAGGCAAGTTTAACCTCATGCTCATGGAATGCTCCATCTGCAACGAAATCATCCACCCTGGATGCCTTAAGGTGAGCGACTCCCGTGGGACCTGGCTGTGCTGCTCGACACCCCTACCGGGGGCCTCTAGTGTGGGTGAAGCTTGGGGGACGGGGGGACTTGGATTCCTCCCATGGGGGGCCCTCACATCTGGGGGATTCTGCGTGTCAGATGTGAACTGAGGGCAAGAAGGGTCTGGAGTAGCTCAGACCTCACACACAGGTGCAGGTCTTCCCCTCCCCCTCCCCCACACCCTCTCAATCCCCCCCCCCCCCCCCCCCCCCGCACACACACACCCTGAGCACCAGCCAGCTAATACCTCAGAACTACAGAGTTCCAGAATCTCCACCTGGCCCAGAGGGAGATGCTGGCTGGTCAGGCTGCTTGCTGGGCCCTGGCTCGGGGCTTCTGACAAAACTGGGGCCTGGCCAGGGGAGGGCCCATCACAACAGGGGGCCGTGTTCCCGGAAGCCGGGAGCCTGCCCTTGGTGTGTCCAGGCAGGGCTGCCTTCTGGGCACTGCCGTGCTGTACCTGCCTGTCTTGAAAGGAAGAGACAGTTGTGGGCTGGCGCATCGCTTCCGTCCCAGGAGAACGTCAGCACACCTGGCACCTCCCTGTCAGCTCGTGGGCATCTGTGTGTTCTAAAGAGACCAGGGTGGGCCTGCCCCGAATGGTCCTCCGCCCCGAGCGTCCCCTTCCCCCGGGCGGCATAACCCCTCTCTCACACTCACACACAGACTCGCTATTCCCTGACTTTGGAAGTCAGACCACCCTGTCTTAATTGCCAGGTTACTCCTCTCTCTCCCACACCAGAAGCTCCTCCGGGGTGGGGACAGCAGGTCTGACTGGCTCACACCCAGCACCACCCCGGACAGGGCTAGTGAATGAACTCAGTGACCTGTCTTAGCCAGCTGGTTTTCTTTTGGCCAAGGATGGGCTGGAAATGGCATTTGGGGCAGGGGGTGGGGGGTGGGTATTAATGCTCCTGGCAGAGGTGGCCTCTTCCACCCCCTCCCTGTCTGCTGACTGGCTGTCCCTCGCAGATTAAGGAGTCAGAGGGCGTAGTCAACGATGAGCTTCCAAACTGCTGGGAGTGTCCCAAGTGTAACCACGCTGGCAAGACCGGGAAAGTGAGTACCGGCTCCCAATCCCAGGGTCCACCCGGGAGGGGCGGACCTTGGCCTCGCCAGTCCAACCTGTGCCCACATGGTTGGCTGGCGGGTGCCCTGCGCTCGGGGAAGGGCGCTCCTCCCAAGATATACAGTCCGCGTGCACCTTCTCTCTTTTTGGCCTACAAGCAAAAGCGTGGCCCCGGCTTCAAGTACGCCTCCAACCTGCCCGGCTCGCTGCTCAAGGAACAGAAGATGAACCGGGACAACAAGGAGGGCCCGGAGCCGGCCAAGCGGAGGAGCGAGTGCGAGGAGGCGCCCCGGCGCAGGTCGGACGAGCACCCCAAGAAGGTGCCCCCGGACAGCATCCTGCGCCGCAAGTCAGACGACGTGCACCTGAGGAGGAAGCGGAAATACGAGAAGCCCCAAGAGCCAAGTGGACGCAAGCGAGTATGTCCTGGCCTGGGAGGGGCGGGCGCGGGTGGCCCAGCCGGTCCTGGGGGCAGGGGCAGGCGTGGGGGGTGAGGATGGGCCGTGGGGAGAACGCGGGACCCTGGCCTCTGGCTGCTCTGAGCAGGTCACCTAAGTCCCCAGCGCCCTGCCCAACAGAAAAGAGGGGGAAACCAGCCCGTCACTCACTCCTCTTCCCACCCCTTTAGGCCTCGACTCTTCAGACGTCCCCCGGTTCCTCCTCTCACCTCTCGCCAAGGCCCCCTCTTGGCAGCAGCCTCAGCCCTTGGTGGAGATCCAGTCTCACTTACTTCCAGCAGCAGGTGCTCCCGCGTCGCCCCGCCCTCTCGAGGCCCCCACTCCCAACCCCGCCCCCCACTGGCTCTCCAGCCTCAGAGCTTCCTGGGCCTCAGCCCCAGATCGCTGGCCCAGGGTTCTGGGTTCTGGCACGGGGCCTGGGAAGCTGAGCTGCGGTGGGGAAGCCCTGCAGACTTGGGAATCCTCCTTGGCCCTGCTCCGCCCACTGGCCCTTCCAGCATCCGCCACCAGGTGGCGCCCGGTTCTGTTCTCCCCGCTCTGGCCATGAAGGCTCGGCTGGGACTCCCACAGGCCCTGCCTCCAGGACTGGCTCCCAGGCCGCCGCATCCCTCTGGGTCTGCCCAGGGGTGGGAGGGCAGTTGGTTGGGCACAGTTGGACCTCACTAGCCTACTTGCAGCCTCTTCCTTAAAACCAGCCGGCAGGGCCCACCCATCAGAGCGGGTTTGTGGGGAAGGTGCCCCTCCAGTCCCTAGTCTGGGGGTGGGGCTGGGTGTCGAGGGGATCAAATCCCTCGAGCCTGGTAGCAAGCTCTGCATCCTTTCTGTTCTGTGACAGCTAAAACCTGGCAAAGAAGATAAGCTTTTCAGGAAAAAGGTACCCTCTGTCCCTGCCCTCCCCTCCCCTTCCTTTCCTTCACCTCATGCCTGGACTGGGGCAGGATCCTGGGAAGAGGGTGGTGGAGAGGCTTGAGTGGGTGCAGCCCTGAGCCGAGGAATTCCCTGCCCGCTGCTCACCTGCCCCTGCCCCCCTGCTCCCCCAGCGGCGGTCCTGGAAGAACGCCGAGGACCGGATGGCTCTGGGCGGCAAGCCGCTCCGGCGCTTCAAGCAGGAACCCGAGGACGAGCTGCCCGAGGCGCCCCCCAAGACCAGGGAGAGCGACCACTCCCGCTCCAGCTCCCCCACGGCCGGGCCCAGCACCGAGAGCGCGGAGGGTCGCGACGAGAAGAAGAAGGTGAAGATGCGCCGGAAGCGGCGGCTCCCCAACAAGGAGCTGAGCAAGGAGCTGAGCAAGGAGCTCAACCAGGAGATCCAGAAGACGGAGAGCAGCCTGGCCAACGAGAACCACCAGCCCATCAAGTCGGAGCCGGAGAGCGAGAGCGAGGAGCCCAAGCGGCCGGTGGGCGGCCTGTGCGAGCGCCCGCACCGCTTCAGCAAGGGGCTCAACGGCGCCTCCCGCGAACTGCGGCACCAGCTGGGGCCCGGCCTGCGCAGCCCGCCCCGCGTCATCGCCCGGCCGCCTCCCTCCGTGTCCCCGCCCAAGTGCATCCAGATGGAGCGGCACGTGATCCGCCCGCCGCCCATCAGCCCCCCGCCCGACTCGCTGCCCCTGGACGACGGGGCGGCCCACGTCATGCACCGGGAGGTGTGGATGGCCGTCTTCAGCTACCTCAGCCACCAAGACCTGTGTGTGTGCATGCGGGTCTGCAGGACCTGGAACCGCTGGTGAGGAGGCAGGGAGCTGGCGGTGTGGCCAGGTCTGCGCTGAGGGTTGGGCTAGACCAGGGATGGAGGGTGGGTGGGAAGGAGGGTCCCACCTTGAGTCAGTGGCCAGGCCCTCCTCCTCCTCCTAAGCCCCGTTCAGCTTAATTCTCTTTTCTCCAAGAGCCTAGCAGCTAGGGTGGTCAGGTGCAGCCAGTACCTCAGAACTGCAGCCAAGTTTCCAGAATCTCCACCTGGCCCAGAGGGCGATGCACCTGGCGCTGTCGGAAGCCTATTTGACTTCCTGACTTAGCCCCTCGAAGACGAGCGGGGCCCGGCGGAGCCCTGTCCTGGAAGTGTTAGCCCAGGTTATCCACAGCCACGGTGCCAGGGACTCACCTTAACCCCAGCTTTGAGATTTCCTAGCTTCCAGGCCAAGTTATCTATCTGCCTTCCTTGTGAATGGCTCCGACACCTCTGCTCAGGCTTGTTTTGAGAAACGGTGTGTGTTGTGTGGGAGGAAGTGCTTAATGGAGGACAGGTGCCAGCACCTTCCGGGGAGGGCAGTCACGGCAGAGGTGCCCAGGTGCAGACAGACGGGACCTAAGCAGAAGGGTGCAGAGGGTGGAGTTAGGAGCCTGCCTCTGAGCTTGGATGATGAGGAGTTGCCACAAGTGAGACCCCAACTCTGACGGCACCCCCTCTGCTGGGTCTGGCCCCCAGGTGCTGTGATAAGCGGTTATGGACCCGCATCGACCTGAACCACTGCAAGTCCATCACGCCCCTGATGCTGAGCGGCATCATCCGGCGACAGCCTGTCTCCCTGGACCTCAGCTGGACCAATATCTCCAAGAAACAGCTGAGCTGGCTCATCAACCGTTTGCCAGGTGAGCACAGGGCCAGGGACCCCAAATGTGCAGGTGCGGGGGGGGGGGGGTTGAGGGGGGGTGCATCACCTGACCTGCGACCCCTTCTCTTATTCCCCCAGGGCTCCGAGACTTGGTGCTGTCAGGCTGCTCATGGATTGCAGTCTCGGCCCTCTGTACCTCCAGTTGTCCGTTGCTCCGGACCCTGGATGTCCAGTGGGTAGAAGGGCTAAAGGATGCCCAGATGAGAGATCTCCTGTCTCCGCCCACAGATAACAGGCCAGGTGAGTGGCCAGGCCTGGGGGCAAGGCTACATGGTGGTGGTGGTGTGACCAAGCTGTGCTGTTGGGTTCGATTTTCACCACAGCGGGCCTGCAAAGCCTCCTTAAATGCTTAATGGAGAGCAGGTGCCATCTGGTGTGCAGTCCTCCAGCCTTCGCTGGCCGCAGCCCGTCCCCAGGGCATGCCGGGAGGAGTTTGGCTGCTGTGTTCTCGGTTTGCTTCGGGCACCCAGGGGCTCTCAGAAATCCCACTGCTTCTCTGTTCATTTATCCTGCATCGCTCAGGCCCCCTGGAGCGGCAGGGTCAGGGTGGTTGGACAGCGGCTCCCGTAGAGCTCTCCGAGGCCGGGTCTCAGGGTTCATCGCTCCCCGTCAGCAGCTTAAGTAAGGAAACCATGGTGATCGAGAGATGCTAATGCTGTCTGCTCCGTCTGGCCAGTACTGCTGGTTGGAGAGAGGGCTCTGGGTTTCTAGATCTTCTGAACTTTCAAGAATCTCAATGTGTAAAATTTTATGTATATATATTTGTGTGTGTGTGTGTATTATTGATTTATGAGAGGAAGGAAGAGGGAGATAGTGATATAAACATCAATGATGAGTCATTGTTTGGCTGCCTCCTACACAGGTCGATGCTTAACCACCGAAACTTACTGGCCAGCCGATCTTCTGATTCTTAAATATTGGAACTGATTCTAGTTTTTTTGTTTGTTTTTTGTTTTTTTAAAATATATTTTATTGATTTTATACAGAGAGGAAGGGAGAGAGATAGAGAGTTAGAAACATCAATGAGAGAGTCATCGATCAGCTGCCTCTTGCACACCCCCTACTGGGGATATGCCCGAAACCAAGGCACATGCCCTTGACCGGAATCGAACCCGGGACCCTTCAGTCCCCAAGCCGACGCTCTATCCATCGAGCCAAACCGGTCCCGGCTGATTCTGTTTTTTTTTGGGGCGGGGAAGCATTCAGTGACCAACTGAAACAAGTGCTGTGTCTGGCTGGTAGGCCTTTGTGTCCTATCTCACTGATACTCTGCCTCTCTCCTCCCCACCCCTCAGGTCAGATGGACAATCGGAGCAAACTCCGAAACATCGTGGAGCTGCGCCTCGCAGGCCTGGACATCACCGACGCCTCGCTGCGGCTCATCATCCGCCACATGCCCCTGCTCTCCAAGCTCCACCTTAGTTACTGTAACCACGTCACTGACCAGTCCATCAACCTGCTCACCGCAGTGGGCACCACCACCCGGGACTCCTTAACAGAAATCAACCTGTCAGGTCAGTGGGAGTCACCCATCAGGGACTGCCCAGCATCCCGTGGGACGAGCTGGGAGTTTCACATTTATGCGCCTGCTATTATTATAGGATCCCAGTGTTCGGTGCTAGGACATAGCAGTGGTGAAGACAGACACACAGCCCAGTTTAGATGGGAACATGCTGCAGAAGTGATTACTAGATTTGTAATAATTGCTACCAAAAATGCTGGTAGCCGTGAGTGCATAGAACAGTGGTTCCTGGCCAGGGAAGCTTCCCTCAGTGGGCACAGGCTAGCACCTGGCAGGGGGCGGGATGAGTGCTGTGGGATGGGTGGGCAATAAGGGGGAGCAGTGGGCAATAAGGCAAGGCCTGCCCCAGTAGGCTTTCCCTGGGAGTAAGCAGCTTGCTTTCTGCCATTGTTGTCTTCAATTTCGCCCACCCTTCCTGACCCTGCTGTCACAGGGTCTGTGGTTGGAGAGAAGAAATCTCCAGTGCCCTCACGGTTCGGTTCGGTTTGGTTTGGCGTCTTGTCCCACACGCTGTGAAACCTCACACATCCCTCCGCTTGCTGATGGGGAGGGAGTTTGTTTTTAAGGAGTTGGGACATGAGGGACAGTGAGATGGACAAAGGCATGATTTTTCTGAAAGAATTTCACTTCTTTTTGCAGTAAGCTTATAAAAGAGAGTCAGCCACTTGGTGGGGAGGAATTTGAGAGATTAATTGAAAGGTTAAGGGGTACCCTTGGAACAGGTGTTAAACTCCCCCCCCCCCCCCCCAATCTCTGTCACTTTTGCCATCTAACTGCCTGGCACTGCCTGTGATGCAGACAGCATTCCATTGTGCTGGTTCCAAGTTCATGAATTCCTACTGTCTTTATGAGATTGGGTTATAGCTACACTATCTGAAACGTGCATCCAAGAATCTGGGCGCGTCTGTGCCAGGATTTTGTGTTGACCTGACGGGATTGTTTGAAAGGGGCTACTCTGCTGGGACCGGTTTGGCTCAGTGAATAGAGCGTCGGCCTGAGGACTGAAAGGTCCCGGGTTTGATTCCGGTCAAGGGCATGTACCTTGGTTGTGGGCACATCCCCAGTAGGGGGTGTGCAAGAAGCAGCTGATCGATGATTCTCTCTCATCGATGTTTCTAACTCTCTATCCCTCTCTCTTCCTCTCTGTAAAATATCAATAAAATATATATATTAAAAAAAAGAAAGAAAGAAAGGGGCTACTCTGATTGTTTGAAAGGCAGTTCTTCGGTGACTCACGTGGTGCCGTCACCTTACTTCCTTACACTACCTCCTAACCTCACATCCTGTCTTCTTCCCTGCAGACTGCAATAAGGTCACTGACCAATGCCTGTCCTTCTTCAAGCGCTGTGGGAATATCTGTCATATTGACCTGAGGTACTGCAAGCAAGTTACCAAGGAAGGCTGTGAGCAGTTCATAGCTGAAATGTCTGTGAGTGTCCAGTTTGGGCAAGTGGAAGAAAAACTCCTGCAAAAACTGAGTTAGTCCAAGGACTAGTGTGTAAATATGGGGTGGGGGGGTGGGGAGGGGCGGGGCCACAGGAGGGTAAAAGACTTGACAGAAACTAGGGTTTTTATTTTCAATTTGGAACTTGGAATAACAGACCACGGAACGATTCCATTTTGCAAGTCTTGCCAAGGCAATGCCGTTCCACCACCCATTTTGGGGATGAGTGAGCCGGATTGGGTTATTATGAAGAGTAACTGCACTGCTTTCTGGACCATTTCTAAGGCGGCCTTTACCGAGAAGACATTCCTGTTGGAGAGGAGGATGAACTTGGGAGAAATTCTCTTACTGAAGCATGAGCTTAGGAATTTTTTTTTTTTTTTTTTTTTTGTGATGGTGTTTTGTTCTGGACACCTCATTCCTTGCAACTCTGGGGGTTTTGGTGTCAACATTAAGTGGACCACACAACACATCTGCCGTCTTGACATATTTTGTTTGGTTTTGTTACATCTTACATTATGAGGAATTATTTTTGTACAAATTGTTTAAAAGTTATTTATGCAAGGTTTGAACGCATATCAGTGTTTTTATTGTTTTATGATTGCCAACTTTCCCTGGACTTCATCAACCCAAATAATCCATCTATACATTTGCCCAGACCTGGCAGAGCAGTCTGAGCCTTCCGGTTTAAAGCATGTTTACCTGGAAGCGAAGAGCCTGCTTTGGGCATTAAGAAGTTACATAAGCATGTTGTGCATATATGTAAAATATAATGGAAGTAAGACACTTTGCCAAGGTTCCCCTGTATAGAATTCACCCTTTTCTCAAAAATTTTAAAATTGAACTTCGACCTTTGCACTCAGGAGGGTTTGCTCCAGCATGAGCTCTTGGATTCTACATAGATCTAATTTATACGGTGAGTCAATAAGTAAATGACCCAACGTAGCCTTTCTTTTCCTCTTCTTTCTCCTTTGAAGTGTGAGCAGAGTTCTCGTTTCAGGTTTATAACATGGCTGTTCCCTAGTTGTAAAGATATGCATTCATAAGTGCCATTGTTGTTTGGTGGTGTTTTCCTAGACCTTCCTGACTCGGTTTTACCTTTGTTGAATTTGTATAAACCATTGTACAAAAAAAAAACAACAAACCCACTCTTGGACTTTGAGGGTTTCTGTTCTAGGAGTGGACTAGACATTTGATTAGAAAGTCTAGGGGCACGAATCTCAACACTAGTATATATTGTTTTGTAGCCAAACAAGCTATAATTTCTTATTCATCTGAGAAATTGCAGTAGTCCCTTGGGAGAGGGGAAGAGAGAGATAGAAACATTAATGATGACAGAGAATCATTGTCTCGTGCATGCCCCCTACTGTGGATCGAGCCCACAACCCAGGCCTGTGCCGTTGGTCGAGACCTCCTGTTTCATTCATGGGTCGATGCTCAACCACAGGCATACCAGCCCACTTTCCCCATCTTTAGAGAGAGATCTTGCTGTCTATGGCTAATAAAGGTAGTGGGAAAGAACTATGCTACACCAATGTCCACTTGGTATTTTTACTGCCAGAGGTGGGGGGGGGGGGGTGGAGTCCCATTTTCTCAACCTCCCATTGGAGGCAACTCGAGGCCACATCCTGTCCTTTAGTAGCCTTGGGCCAGGGTAGCTGGAGACGCTTGGTTATGAGGTAACTTCCCCAGGTGGCAGATGGCAGAAACCAGTGAGAAGTAATTTTAGATCTAACGACAGAGCTTTGCAACCTTGTACTCAAATACAGGAACAACTGCTCTAGTGAATCTGAAAATGGAGAAGATAACCCCACTTCCTGTCCCATAATCAGTAGCAACATAAAGCTTGGGTCTCGTGGGACAAGCCTTTTCTGCTCACGGTAGTTTTCATATTGCCTGCCCCTCCCGTTATGTTTGTCGTGGCAAAATGATTTTAGATCCCATCTAGTTTTGTGCCTTGTTAACATGAATCCATATATTCTTCCTGACTTAGACTGGAGACATCTGAAGCTGTTGCACCCCATAATTTAATTTGGGAGATGCATTTAACAGAAGATTAGTTTAGCCACTCTGTGGTTTATTTATAAAACACGGCTTACCCTTGCAAGCCTGACAGTTCATCATAGAGCTCCCCTACTAGAGGTCAAGTTTTGGTTTTCTTGACAGCCTGAGTACTCCGAACCCCTAGGTAAGTTCCCCTGATGTCCAGTAGAGGCATCCTCTTCCTTGGGAATGGTTTTAAGGAACATGGTGGTTTTCAGGTAAATAGCCCTGTGGTAGAGGCCCCTGATTGTCCTATAACGTTTCTGAGATCGCCCAGGCTTGCTAAGAGGAGGTTCCAGAGCTGGGAATACGTAGCTACCATAGGGACAATCCACAGAGCCAAGACACAGCGTCTCACCAGGCTTGAGGCAGTTGCCATGGTGGTTTTAACAGCTGAGCTCCCTCCCATACACTGAAAAATCCAGCTGAGGTTTTACCCCGACACCCAGCCTCTGTACAGACCTGTCATTTAAAAATGAGCTTATTAGAGAGGGCCAGGCTGAGTTAGATGCAAACATCTGCTCTGAGCCCATATCACATATCTGATGATGTAATGAGAGTAACATAAACCAGAGGTGGTGCTTCCTGTTAGATCTCGGCTAAGCACCTGGGAAAGTGAGGCTCCTTTCCTTCTTCCTCTAGAAAACCTTATGTTTGCAAAGGAAGACACTGTGACTCCTCTAAAGCATCAAGAGCCCCATCCTTTTACATCGTGAGGACAGGGACAAGGAGATGTTGTTGTATTCCGTTTTGGACTTTCAGAATTTTATTCATTTGATTTATTATGTATTCAGAAAATTCACTTTAAGAGGCATGGTATGCCAGCTATAAAATGCAGACTCCAGAGAGAAGTGTTTTGCTTTTTGCCAAACAAGTTAGTAACTTGTAATCCAGTTATTCCAAGTGTCAAGCCTGTTAGGGTAAAATTTTGTTGGCTTCTCACTAAACCAAGGTGACTTTAAAACACTACTTAAAAAGATCCTCCATTAAGTTTTTTATCCTTTTGCTAAAAATAAGCATTTGAAACTTATATAAATCCAAGAGGAAATCATTAAATAAGTTGTTTTAAGCTGAGACTATGTGCAAATAAATCTTACTTTTCTAATTTAACCTTAGACAAACCAGCACCTACTGCTCAGCTTCTAAATGTGCTTGCTATTGAGGGCTGGCCTGGATTTGAAGACTTCCCAGTTTGTGGGGAAGGCTGAATTTCTGGAGTTCACTGTCTCACAATAAGTAAGGCAAGGTAAGTGCTCCGAAAGCTTCAGCAGGTGCCGAGTCTTATGGCTTCTGTAGGAAGGCAATGACCTGCTTATGCTGGTCAGTGTGAACCACAACCGGCACCCACCCTGGGCTCCTACAGAGAAGGGAGCTACCGCCTTAGTGGTTTGGCTCAGTGGATAGAACGTTGGCCTGCGGACCAAAGGATTCTGGTCAAGGGCACATACCTCGGTTGCAGGCTCCTCCCTGGTCTGGGCCTTGGTCAGGACCTGTGCAGGAGGCAACCAATCGATGTTTCTATCTTTCCCTCTCTATTCCCCTCTAACATCAATGGGAAAATGTCCTCAGGTGAGGATTTTTAAAAAGGGGAGCTAGACCAGGTGCGGACACCATTCGCACTGTACCAAGTGAATTAGAAACTAAGGACAATGTAAAGAAAAGCATTTTTGAAAATCTAATTTTATTCCTAAAGTTCAAATTAGCTAGCAGTAGCACTGAAAATACACTTTCACTATACAAAAAACAGTGTAAACCAATTACACATTAGTAAAGAATTTAACACACACTTTTCTCTGGTGAAGAAGCTAGATGCAGCCCTTGCTATAAAAAGCTGTACCTGAACAGAAATGGACATGTTTATTAGTCTCTAAGGCCCTGGCATTTGACTATATAGAAGGATGTCAGTGTTCTCAATGAAATTTAATTTCAGAAATAGCAACAATGTGGAAACTTACATTCATCAAATAGTAGCATTTAAAATAACCATGACTAATAAAGTGAACATTCAGAGGTGCCACTGCTCAGCATGTACCATGTTAGTCAGTTGAGGACAGTGATCTCATCCAAACAGAAGTTTCAAACATCTGAGTAGTTTAAGTTAAAAACAGGAGAATGGAGAAGTAAGAGAAGATAAATGTCTTCAAAGGGAGAGAAGCTGATGCCATAAGCAGTATGACTTCAGCAGTTACTGATCACAGACGTGTGGTGAAGCCAGGCTGAACCTGGGAAACAGCATGTCCACAGGCTGACAGGCGTAGGGCATGGATGGACCAATGTTGCCGTAACTTAGGATGAATCTTTGTTCCCAGTTCGTGAAAATAAATTTTAAAAATAACTTCAACTTTTAACAAGTTTCCAGTCCCTTCTATACACTGAAATGTCTGGGTTCAAGCCTGGGGGCGAACGTCCTGTTGGGGAGAGCGTCTACTTCAGGACTTGAACACGTGCACGGCGCGCACCACGTACTGGCGGCAGATGGGACACTCGCTCATGCGCTTGCCGCACTTGGTGCAGGTGACCATGTGCCCACACTCGAGCAGGACACAGTCGATGACGGCGTCCATGCAGATCCGGCACAGGCTGTCATCCTCCTCTTCCTGCAGCTGCAGCCGCTCGCCATCTGAAAGGCAACAGAGAGCTAGAACTGCCACCCAACAGGCTGAGCAGCCACCTGAGTGACCACAATAGGCACAGCATGATCCTGCAGTAAGAAATAATCCCAACTTATTTTAATTTATATAATTCCAGGTTTTGTGAGAATTGTTTCTGTAAATAAAAATGAGGAAACGTAGGTTGTCCTTAATATGGGCCTTGGAGTTAGAATACCCTTGGAATTTTCAATCCACTTCCAACTTGGGAAATTTGCAGTGTCCGGGACCTCATCTCAGCAGGAAAGAGTGACATTTCCATGGTGAAGTTATGAAGAGCTGTGCATCAAATAGCCTGTAGTTGGATGAAGCCCCAGACTCCAGCCTTGGAAGCATCTCAAAAGCTACCGATGTTTCTGGCCACCTTGGTACTGCTGAACTGTAACTGAAAAGGGTTGTGGCCCTTTGTGGCTCTGTGGCCCAGATTAGGTTTTGAGAAAATCCAGAATCTGAATAAGAAAGGCGCTAAATGAATTCTGAAAGTTCACAGCCTGCCTGCCATGACTGGGATGACTCACTCAGTTGGAGTGCCATGGTATACCAAAGGGCTGTGGGATCAATCCCTGGTCAGGTCATATGGAAGACAATCAATCCATGTTCTTGTTCTCTCCCTCTCTCTCCCCCTCTAAAATTAATAAGCATATCCTTGGGTGACGATTAAAAAAATTTTTTTCAAGTTCACAGCCTGAGATTTGGCCCTATAGTCATAGATGTTGAGGCTTCCATTTTTTCAAGTCACAGAAAGATCAATGAAAATCATGAATATGGTTTGGAGGGACAATTCAAGGTTGAAAAAGCTAATAATCCCTGGATTTAAGAGAAATAAACATTGTCACAGAAATAAATTTGACTTGTAACAGAAACAGCCTAGCTCTTAAAGTGTAAGGAAGGATACCACAGGGGAAATAGGAAAAAAGAAACCTACATGACTTTTGGTTTTCTTCATTCTCTTTGTATAAGCGGTTTACTTTCTCTACCAGCTCCCATTTTTCACAACAGCCAGAATAATTGACAAAATTCCGAGCCAGGATTTCCTTCAGCTGGCGCACACTCATCCCTTCCACATCTTCAAGGCTTGACAGGTCAGACAGAGAGGCTCTCAGTCTCTTCTTGGAGAGGCCAGGCGCCTGAAATTATACAGCAATTTAATACCTCTTTTCCTACCAATTCAGACCTCCCACAGCAAGGAAAATGACATGCTCTCCTCACCCTACAGTCATCACTTCCCAGATTTCTTATCTGTCCTTAAAGTATCCTATATCATAAAAGGCTAATAATATGCAAATTGTCCCCTTGGGAGTTTGACAGCTTGCTATGATGTGTGTTGACACCAGGGGGTGGCGCAGAATGAAGGAAAGCCCCAACCAGCCCTGATCACCAGCCAGCCAAGCCTATTTCGTGCACCGGGCCTCTAGTTATATAAAGTGCTACATTCAAACCTCAATACATATCCTCTGCTAATCAGCAAAATGTACATGGGCCTTTCCCTGCCTACTAGGTTGGCATGTCAGGAGACTGAATTTCATAGGAGCTCTCACCCGTTCCTCCAAGTTGTCTTCTTCCTCGTTGTCATCGTCGTCGTCATCATCATCTTCGTCGTCGTCGTCGTCATCTTCTGTGTTTGCTGATGCTATTTCACTTTGTACCTATATGCATAATGGATCTGGTTATGTCAGAAATCAGACCTTTCCACAGACCTTCCCTAAGAATGCCCCCAACAATGGGCATATTCTATGACTTCTTTGGATCATGAATGCTTCTGCCCCTTCCAAAGAGTTGGGCCCTACATGATTTCATCAACATCTTCACTTCCATAAAATTATCTCAAAAGCCAAATCCTAAATATGTGTGAATTTATAAAACTTAACTAGAACCTCCTGAGGACAGTCCCGTCATTGGACCATAGGCCAAAGACATAAGCACTGAGTCATTATCAAAGGATCTGCCTTAAACTATAGCTGGTTTAAACCTCTAAAATATAGGTAGAAACTAAAACTCTAAGGTCAGTGCAAGTGTCGGGAGGATACTAATTCCAAAGAATGGTTTCTAGCCTTCTTCACTGATGGCTGATACTAGTTTTTAGAAATTCCTCAACAGTCAGTCAGAGGCACTCTTCTCTTTAGGCAAAATAGAAATCCATTTGATTTATATACCTTCTTTCATATCTTTCTCTTTTTCTTAACCATAGCTCTACAAAAGTCAAGGTTAGTTCTATTTCAAACATTCAACTTCACTGGGAGAGTATTCTGCACTGGCACTACTTTGAAATTAACAAATAACCACCTTTGTTCACTAACTCAATGTTTTTCCCCCCATGATCCAAATTATGTAGGACACTTACTGCAGCAAGGCAACTGGGCATTAGGTTAACTTACACTACTGTTTCCATGGTCACTGACAGTCTTGCAAATGTTTATATACGACTTTTCACAGTTATTATTTAACTATATAAGATAGGGAAACTGAGGTAACTAAGGTCAAGAAACTGATGAGTTATTTAGGGGCCTTCAAATAGCTGACTTTGGGGCCACCCAGCACCTAAGCTTGGAAACTCACATCAGGAGGCTTGTAAGTGCAAAGTTCAGCAGTGTGTAGAATCTCTGCTCCCATTAGGAGGCATCAACCTCTAAAGGCCCCACCAAGTGTAGACAAGCCGGGCCCTTAGGGTAATTAACAATCATACCTGTGCCAAGGCTCCAGATCCTAAGGTCTGGTCTCTACCCATTAGTTCTTCCTGAAATGAAGACATGGTAGCAGAGGGGGCTGTGTAGCTTGAAAAATATGAATGTGTAAAAAAACTGGAATTCTGGGATCTTGAGGAATTCAGACTGCTGGTGTCCAGGTTGTCCTCAGAGCCCAGCCCATGGTGGCACAGCACTAAATCTACCAAGTCTTCTTTCTCTCGACAGGTATCAATGGGTATGTTTCTAAGAATGAGATACTGCCGCAGATCCTTCACTTTCAGTCGCATTAACTGAGGGCGCTGAAAGGCTGTCTCTTGTAATAAGTGACAGGTGGAACATCTACGAAGATTTTCTTGTAAAACTGAGCAAACGGAGCAAAAATCCTTCTTGCAGTCACAGCATACGTGCTGAGGAAACAGATAGAAAAGAAGTATTTAATGATAGCCAGCTATGACCACTTGTGAAAGTACTAGTTTTTTTTTTGTTTTTTTTTTTGCCTCCTTTTAACATTTAATTATAATTCTTATGAAGTGTTCTGTGGCACCAGACTATTCCCACAGGTGTTTTAATATTCCAAAAGCCGTGAAAATAAAGGACAGTCACTGCCAAGGCAGTTTGGATTCACAGAAGTTCAAATACAGTCCTTAAAAAACAACATACAGTCTTGTGTTAATGAATTAAAACCTTTCCACCCCTTGGGGCAAACATGCAATTAGCAGAGCAGAGCTGTCTGGAACCACACGGAGCAGAAAGCACAACCACAAACTTTTTTTATGGGAACAATTTCCATTTAAAGGGAAGCAGGGGAGGAGGGTGCGCATAACACAAGGAAAGAAAAAAGCAACTGATCTCACAAGATCAATCCAAGCAAACAGAGGACCCCACTAATGCAATAATCTAAGGGTGTCGAACTCAATCAGAGAAGGGGCCAAAATCTAAAATCCAGCCTAAATCGCGGGCCGAATGGTTTACTGAACAGTCATAAACTGTCATTGTGATGGAAACGCAGCAGAGTGCAGTGATGACAGCGCGGTGCGGGCCACATTGCAAGGCCTGGCGGGACGGATTTGGCCCGCGGGCCTTGTGTTTGACACATGTGCAATAATCTTTACCCTACACAGCCTTAATCACAGTCAAAGCCATTCCACTAGCAAAACTTAAAGTAGACACTAAGATGTGATTATTTTCACTTGCTGCATTGTTCTCACAAGCTAATACCTTGTTCCTTAAGTATTTTAAAGGACTGAATTGAAAATAAAAGATTGTGAGAACCATTGTATGATGGTTTTCAGAAAGAACAATTTCAACCCAAGTGTTTTATATGGAGCAGTAGTTACCTTAATACATTTATTTCTTCACTTGAGTTAATATGGTTAGGGATATATGTTTTGAAACTTGAGGTCAGAGTATATCAGTAAATTATCTCTGAACAAAAGTGTAGCCTAATTAAATCTCTTGCTTCAGAACATAAGCATCGTTAGGAAGAATCAAGGTGTATAAACAGGTCAAAGTTCATGAGAAAGTATGCCTGAGCAACATGACAAGTAACAATGTCTAGTCAGAAAACTTGAACAGTCATTTAGTCCCTCCAACTGAGTACTTTCCTAAATGGGAAATGATTAATAAGACTAACTTTTGGTATTTTTATAAAAAGAAATAAATACTCATTAGTATTCAGAATTACATATAATCAATAATTTTGATGTCTTTTGTATATAACATATTATCTAACTCACCTTCTTTCTGAAGACTGAAAATGCAAGTCCACAGGCTTTACAAACTATATTAGGTGCTTCAGTAGGCGCTGGTGGAAAAGTAGTGGAAAAATCAGAATTTGGCGTAAATCTGAATGGACCGGTGCTTCTGGTGAATCCTGCCTGCTGGCCCCTGACAGCTCCGGTTCCCATGACTTCATTCAGCAGTCCACAGCATGAAGCCCACATAGATGTGGCACCCGCCTGGAAAGGAATATAAGAAGGAACCAGATTAAAGCTAAGTGGAACCTGGGCTCTCTGAGATCCTCATGGAATGCCATTCTGGAGAGGTATATTTACCCTAAATAACTTTGAGATTATTCTTTAAATTTTTTAATTTTTATTGATTTCAAAGAGGAAGAAAGAAACATCAATGGTGAGCAGAGAATCACCAATCGGCTTCCTCATGCACACCCACTACTTCGGGATTGAGCCCGAAATCTGAGCAAGTGCCCTTGAGCAGAATCGAACCGGGACCCTTCAGTTTACAGGCCAACGCTCTATCCATTGAGCAAAACCAGCTAGAGCTGAGATTATTCTTTAAAGTGTCAAAATTTTAAGCTATTTGGAAAGATAACTTTCTGGTATTTGCAAATAATATTTCCCATTGGGGATACTCATAAAAACTACCCATTTTTTTCTATGTGCTGAGGCAGATTTTCCCAGCCATCATTTAGCAGAAAGAATATAAATTCAAATACTTAATTTCATTAAACTTCCGTTCTCATTTGTAGCTGGGCATAATAAACCATGGCGTAAATTTTTTGATTAAAAAAATGACTGGGAAAACATAAAAATGCCAACTGAATAAAGCTCTTTTAAGTTTTTAATGTATCTTTGTATAATTTATTTTCTTGAGTTTTTCTCTACCTCCCAAAATCTTGAAAAATAATATATTAATTGGACATTAAGGAAAATATTTTTAAAAGCAGTTATTCTACTTTTTGTTGTTGTTAATCCTCACCTGAGAATAATTTTTTCAATTGTTTTTAGTGAGAATGAAAGGGGAGAAGGAGGGGGAGAAACATCCATGTGAGAGAGACACATCCATTGGTTGCCTACCCCATGCACCCCTGACCAGGGCCTGGGATTGATCCTGCAATCCAGGTACATGTCTTTGATTGAGAATCAAACCAAAGACCCTTCAGTACGAGTGCCAACACTAACCACTGAGCAAAACCAGTGAGGGGTATTCTATCTTTCAAACTGAAAATACTAAACACTAAATGTATGGGCTATCTGCCACCCCACTAAATGGCCTGAAAGTAATGTACTACCTTTTATGTCTTTTTTCTTTCACCTCTTCCTTTTCTGTGAACCACAAACTGCTATCACTATACCTACCTAGTAATCTGTCTTTTTTACTGCAGACTCAGAAACCCAATAACCAAGCTTGTTAGAAATATATATACCGCGCGCGCGCGCGCGCGTGCGTGTGTGTGTGTGTGTGTGTGTGTGTATTTTTTTTTTCTTTCTTCTTCAGTGAGAGCTCAAGGTATTTTCCCAGGCTTAAAGTAGAAAAGCTATGATGTTTGGAACCAATGTGTTTGTCCCTTGACCTAATTCTAAAGCATATCGTAGACTCTGGATAAGTGATAGGTAACAGAAGTCCACTTAAGTAAGATCTTATGTGTTAAATACCAGCACATGACCTGGCATAGTTCATTTATTTATCTAACTTGTTCAAACATTTACTGTTTGTCTAACAAGTTCTTTAAAAACTTAAAAAAAAAAAAACAATTTTAAAAGACTATTTGAGATGCTATAGAGGGATCATACTATTCTTGCTACTACCCAGAAGTAATCTATAATAATAAAAGCATAATACATACACAAATCAACTGACCGACCAAACAATCATCCAGACAACCTTCCAGATGACATTCCGAACAGAGGCAGCGGGGGCTGCATGGGACCCCACAGCTGGGGCTGCAAAGGCATACCCGTACACTAATTTCATGCATCGGGCCTCTAGTATGTTATATTAAATATAGGGAAAGGAGAAGGTAAAGTAGTAAGAAACCACAATACAAGATTCAAACAATCTTAAGTATCAGGGTCACTGACTTAAGTATTTTATAGCTTCACACCCTGTAATTCTCAAGAAACAGTGATGCCTTTAAAAGTCTGGTTAAATTATAGTTAATAGTTCATACCTTTAAATATATACTTTAGCGTCATGGTTTGCTTAAATATAAGAGGATGATAAATCCAGATTTACTAACAGTTCATTTATTAAAGTATTTTTTAAAATTGATTTTGGAGAGAGGGAGAGAAAAGAGAAAAATCCATGTGAGAGAGAAATATCACCGAGTTTGTTGCTCTGCCTCAAATTCAAGGGTCACCATCCACCTTTTAGTTGCTTAAAAACAAAACAAACAATAACTATTATCCTTCCATGAATGAAGCCAAAGTCTGGATCTCTGAAAACTAAAACTATGATCTGGGCTTATGTAACTAGAAATTCTAAAACCTATTTGGGACCAGGGTTGAGAGCAAGACTGACTAAACTACATGAATCCAAGAGGTTAGGAAGAACAATAATCTGTAAAGCTGGCAACATTTCCTCCCTTGATCAAGAATGTATAATAGTTTGAAACAAGATAGAGAAAAACCAGGTACATATTGCTATGCTTGGCACAAAACTTCTAGCTCAAGGAATTTAGCTATGTTTGCAGTTTACTTTCTAGTCATCAACAGCTACTGGAAACAAATGGCTTTCTTTGATAATCCCTTTTCTACACAACCCTTTCAGCCAAAGTTGTTCCTGAATAGATTATCCTAGGGACCATGGCCTTGCTTATATCAATTAAGAACCAGGTATCATATTAAAAATCTAACATGGGCCTAGTAAGATACCTAGATCTCATGTTATTCTGATATTCAATGCCAGTTTTGGTGTGTGTTTTTTCCCCTAAAGCCATTGTTCCAAGATTTATTTTTAAATATAGTTTTATTGCTTTCAGAGAGGAAGGGAGAGGGAGAAATATCAATGATGAGTCACTGATCTGCTGCCTCCTGCACACCCACCAGGGACCTCGCCTGCAACCCAGGCATGTGCCCTTGACCTGAATCAAACCTAGGACTTTTCAGTCCACAGGCCGACGCACTATCCACTGAGCCAAACCAGTTAGGGCTGCTCCAAGATTTTTGAGGGCCAATAACACACCCTTTTTTTCACTCCTATTTTGGAACTAATCCTATATAATAAAAACCTAATATGCTAAGTTTCCAGTTGGCCATTCAACCAATCAAGTGTAATATGCTAATGAAATGCTAAGGCTGCTCAACCACTAACTATGACATGCACTGACCACCAGGAGGCAGACACTCCCACCAGTAGGTTAGCTTGCTGCTGGGACTGAGCGAGATGGGCCAGACATGCCCTGGAGCCCTCTCCCAGTCCCTCCCTGGCTGGCCAACCTCCCACGTCCCTCTCCAGCCCGGATCATGCAACCATGGGTCCCTCAGCCTGGCCTGCGCCCTCTCACAATCCAGGACCCCTGGAGTATGTCGAATGAGAACAGGCTTTGGCCTGATGGCGGAACTGGTCGATATGATATGCAGCACTGACCATCAGGAAGTAGACACTCAATGCAGGAGCTGCCCACTGGTGTTCAGTGCACTTCCACAGGTGGAGCAGTGCTCAGTCAGAAGCCAGGCTCATGGCTGACAAGCACAGTGGCAGTGGTGGGAGCCTCTCCCTCCTCTGCAGCAGTGCTAGGGACACTCCCTGAGGGCTCCTGGACTTCGAGAGGGTGCAGGCCAGGCTGAGGGGCCCCTGAGTGCACAAATTTTGTGCGCCCGGCCTCTAGTTAAAAAATAAGACAAATTTAAATGTTTGCTTACTTACTAACTAGAAGCCCGACACACGAATTTGTGCCAGGGACTTGGTCCTCGCAGCTGTGGTGGCTTGCCTCTGCCCTCACAGTCTGTTTTGTCTGGAAGGTTGTTCCAGAAGGATATTTGGAAGGTCATTTAGCTGTCCAGTCTAATTAGCATATTATGCTTTTATTATTATAGAATACCAATTGGAGAACATGACTTTAGCTCTGCAGCCAATTGGTTTTGATAATAGAACACCCCAGCTGACTAATAGCAGCTTACCATCTAGTTGACCATACTCCCATCCCCTCATAGGAAGACAGATCAGACAAGTCCCAGAAAGGACTGAGCTAAAGCATGTGTAGTTAGTTCATTTGCTAAAACTCACCAACCTAAAAACTGCTTTTTTCCCTCTGGTAGTAGAAAGGCTGGAAGTGTTCCTCCTTTATTGTTCCTTAAGAATGAATTAGAAATTTCCTCCCCTCAGTAGGAGTATAAAGGAGGGAAGTGGTGCATGAGAGGGGAATTGACAAGATTCCAGGACTGTGATACTTTTTCCACAATAACAGACTACCGATTTTATAAGCACTCTCCTATTTCTCAGTCAGATTCACACAATATACGCTCATTCTGAATCATCATTTCAGTCAACAAAGCAAGAGCAGCAGCCTATCCTTCTTTCTGACAAGTGTCAGTTTTCAAATGGCCTCAACGTTCAGCTGTCTTCGATTGTGTGTATAACCTAATAGGCTTTTAGAATCCCTCTGGTGGGGAAATACTTCCAAAATTTAAAGAATTAACGAAAAGTTTATTACAAAATTTGAAACCTAGACTACATTAGTATATGATGCCTCTTAAAAATTCCACCAAATGTAATAGTAGCCAGGCAAACTAAAATAAAGAGTAAGAAGGGTTGCCCTGATTTCAGGGATCAATTTTACAATGAATTACAGAAGAATGGTTAGAGTGTGGTCCCAATATGCTAGGGTTGTGGGTTCTTTCCCTGGTCAGAGCACATATGAGAATCAACCAATGAATGCATGATTAAGCGGAGCAACGAGTTGATGTTTTCTCTCACTCTCTTAAAAAAAATTAAAGATAAAAATAAAAAAGGTTTCCTACACCCACCTAAGTATGTGTCCATCATTTTACTTTTTATCCAATCCCAGGGATTTCCCTGCTTTGCCTTCTCCCGCCTCTCTAGTCTATCACCTATGGATTTCATGTAAGCCACCTAGGTCCCTTTCCTTTTATTACAATGTATAAATACAGATGTAACCTGAGCATTATCTCAGTTCATTGAGGTTCTGCTAAGTCCAAACTTTGGCTCAAATAAACTCACAAAAATTCAGAAAATAAAATAAAATAAATAAAAATAAAAATAAAAATGGAAAGCTATGGCGGTTTCCATGAAGATAAAATGATAGCCAAATACAGAGAGTCAATGGGTTTGAAAACAGCAGAAAACTAAATAATTATGTGGTAGGCAGTTAGATAGATAAGATCAGAGCAAAGACGATGAGCCAAAGCCAAATATAAGTCAGGGGGAGAGGAAGGGGGATAAGCCCTGGGGCCTAACTATGTGCAAAACTGGAAAAAAACAAGGACCTCACTGCCCCAGGGTAACCTTTCTTAATCACTAGGTTTGGACCCCTGACCTTTCATATCATTGGTCATGCGGCCTGCATCGTCCCCTGACCTTTCCTCCCTTGGCATGTCCATAGTCACGCAGTAGACCCTTCTGGAAGAGGAACAAGGAGACAAAGAGTGGCCTCTAATACAGGCCCTTGCACAACCACTCCCTTACACACTAACCCGCATTAACCCTAACCCATAGGGATAACAACCAGGCCTCAGTTGTTTTAGCTCCAGGCTCAGAAAAGCTGCAAAACCTGACAAGCGATGCCAGGGCTAACATCAGGACCAGCTGCATTGAAGACCATGACTCTGAGAGGATAAACCTGGAAAGTTGATGAATATTCTATTGGGACCTCCTCTAAGATCCATGCCTCTAGAGAAGAGACTTCCTTCCCTCTTTCTATAGAACACATCCCCCTTTCTCTACGCCCTTTTTCCTGGGCACACTTTCCTTTCCAATACCCTTTTTGCCCCTTTAACTTATTTCTTGAGCCCATTTCTTCTACAGGTCACTTCTACTTGTGACTTTGTAAATAAACTTCCTTAACCCAAACTCAAGTACTGAGGTTGCTGAACCAAGGTCTAGTCTGATTCCACCGTTATAACACCTAATTCCATTTTGCAAAAATTATATAGTCTAAATCATTTGCTTTTGATTAAACTAGGTAAGCAGCAGTAATCATAATGCCACCTCCTAAGAGCTGTTTGCCACAACTCTAAATTAAATATGATAATACTTTACAGATATTTTAAGAATAACTCTACAAGTTTCGAATTAAGAACATTTTCTTGGATGTTGTAAGCAACAAAGGCCAGGCAGGGATTCAGTGTTTCCACCAGTGAAAGTTTCCTCAGAGAATTCAACCACTGTAGATTTTGTTTTAAACTCCAAATAACCTTCAATTTGCTAAAAATTCAATTCCCTGTGTTTAAACTATATGCAAAGATATTTCAAATCTTGAAACCAGTAAATATAAAACAATGTTTTGCAGTTTCAATTTCAGCTGGGTTAAACTTTCCAATAGAACTAGAGCAAAGCAGAAGAAACAGCTGAGATAAGCAAAAATACTGATCCTATTTAGAACCACTTGAGAAAAATATGCTCCTTAAAATGTGAAAGGATTTTTTGAAACTGCTGCTTCAACTGAAAAACAATATACAAGGAACTCTACTACATTTTTGACCAAATATCAGACCATATACAACCAAGGAGGAAAATTTACCTACATCCTAAATTATTTCTTCATACCATTTGGACATTAAGAGGTTGCAAAAACAGATATTAATCTTAAAATTTTAATATTTTTAGGTAAGACATTTGGTCACATCAATAGAGTTTTACAATAATATGTGCTGGAGATCATACCTTCCTCATGTTTGGGTTTTGTTTTCTTTTTCTAAAACAGTGTACTTGATCCTTAGCACCACTCCCCCACCTTTCAAAGAAAAAAAGGAAAGAAAATTATAGTCAATATATTACTTTCTCCTTGATATCTCATTTTGAGCATGGAAGAATTAACGTGATTAATATCATTAAGGAAAGCTGAGGTCTATATAAATCTAGAAAATCATGAAGGAGGATTAAATCAAATTAACATAAGACACTGATTTTGTTTTAAATCCCTTATGAGTTAATTATTGATACATGCTACTCTAAGGTTAAATAGTTACTTGAGTCTTGAGAGGTAAAACCTATTTCAAAACAAACAAATTAAAGGAAGAAAGTAAATACACATTCCACACATACACTAAAACCAGTTGCTCCTGGGTTTGAGTGAAGATGTACTTTATCTGATTGCTTTGCTTTCAAAATAATTTTAATTCCACTGCAAGTACTTGCTTAAATGAACGTTCAAATGTTAGATTTCCATGACATCAGGAATCTCTGACCCTGCCCAGAAATCCCTACAATTAAACAATTTCAATATAAAACAAAATTAAATAAATAGCTCAAATCCTAAATTTTGTGAATCGTTTTCACGAAAACATAAATGAAATGCCGGATCTTCATAATGTCATCTTGTTCAAATTGAAGTCCATTTAGATCCAGTTCATGAAATATATTTTTTCATCTTCAACCGCCACCAAACTTTGTTTCTAAAATTTCAACTCAGGCCGGGACCGGTTTGGCTCAGTGGATAGAGCGTCGGCTTGGGGACTGAAGGGTCCCGGGTTCGATTCCGGTCAAGGGCGTGTGCCTTGGTTGCGGGCATATCCCCAGTGGGGGGTGTGCAAGAGGCAGCTAATCGATGACTCTCTCATCGATGTTTCTAGCTCTCTATCTCTCTCCCTTCCTCTCTGTACAAAATCAATAAAATATATTTAAAATAAAATAAAATAAAATAAAATTTCAACTCAGAAAGCTTTATCTTCCACTTAAATTTTAAAAAATCATTTCTGTTTTTAAAGTACTTGATTTAAAAATTCAACACTGGACTGTCCCTAATTCTACATCTAGTTCCTTGATGGACCACAAATTTAATACTTATAAAAATACTAATGTTCTTTGAGGCATTCTATCCATAGATCCCCGTTTTTGGAAGATGATGGTTTTCATAAAAGCAAGCTAGTTTTAGACATTTTAATAAGTATTCTGAGTTGAAATATTGTATAACTAAAGCTGGAACTTAAAAATAAGCTCCTAAAATGGCCTCATACTTTTAACACAGTTCAAAAGTTACCTATTGCAAAATTCCTCCTTGCTTCCTGCAGCCAGAAATCCCCTTTCTTGCTCTTGAGGGTTTCACTTTCTTTTTCATTCTCATAATGTAGATACTTGCAAATGTCCCTTCCCTTTTGGATCGGCAAACTTCTAAAGGGTGGGATTGTGTTTAATTCAACTTCTACTAGCAATATCTCCTTCTTGACACATAGGAAATGTTTGATAAAATATATGTTGAATTTCTCCGGCTACTGGACACTCCCTTATCAGTCTTCCACAGTAAATCTATGAGACTTTGTGTAGGTCCAGTTCTAAACCAGCTGCTCATTCTGTTAGCTTTCTTACCGCATCAAGCACCTCTCTTCATGGAGATGAATGAAATCGGCTTATGTCTCAAAGGGGTATCATCACCACCTTATGACTCATCCCACTTGGTTTGAGTTCGGGCAAATGAATCAATACCTGAATTGACTACCGTACACGGAGGGAGCTCTTGACAATTCTCAGCTCCCCAAAAAGTAGGCCAGAACCTGCCCCCTTTCCCTTCAACTTCTCACTCAGGGATGCTCCCACGCTCTCACACCCACCTTGAAGAACTCAAGCTGTCAAATTACTTGCTGCGTACCTACTGGCGATGCAGACACATCCAGTTTGCTAGCGCTTTTAGATCTCGGCCCCCAATGTTAAACCTACGGGGGAAGGAGAAAAAAAAAAATCCTTCGGGGTGGGATCCCGGGCCCGAGACATTTCTAACCTAGGAGCCTGGTCCCAGCCTCACGGCTCCCCGCATCACTCCTTTCCTCTTCATCCTGCAGTTTTGGTCCTGCGACAGTCCCGTGGTGTTCCCGACAGTTGGGTTAGTTCAAGGACTCGGGGCGGGCAAGGGCACGCTGTGGGCACAGCCGCGAGGGCTGAGGCGGCGAACACGAGTGGGTCTGTCTCAGGCCCCCGAGGGCACGGAGCGGGCCCGGCGCAGAACGAAGCCCTGAGGCGTGAGCGCAGGGGGCACCCGGCCCCTCCCCGCTCCGCGGGCTTCCTGACCGGAGGCGCCGAGGGAGTTGGGGAGGTTGGGGAACCCAGGATTATCTGTCGTGGATCGGTCATGGGACCCAGATGCCGGGCGGCCAGGTTCGCCCCTCAGCGGAGGTCTCTGGAGAGGTGCCGCCGAGGAGAAAAGAAAGCAATTCGGACGCTCTGGCCGGATAGGAGAGACGGGGAAGGACTGCCCGGCTCCACCGGTCCCTCACCTTCATGGCTGAGACCGCCGCGTCTCGGTCGGCTCCCGCCGCAAACTCAGCACCATCACAGCTCCTCGAAGAGACGTGCTCCTTTCCCTTCTGGACCGCGATTACGGCGCCTCCGGAGGCGGCCGAGCGTCCGGACGTAAGAGGCGTGGTTACGGCCGCCGCGCGCCCCCCGGGAAAAGCGCCGAGCGGCGGCCAAGTTGACCAATCCAAAGCCGATACTCCGGGGGCCGGTCACCAGAGCCAATCAAGTAGCGGGAAGGGGGCGGGGCCTCTGGCGGCATCTGGGTGGGCGGAAGAGAGCTCCATCCGGGTTTGAGCCGCGAAGGGCGGATCTGGGCGTGGCCGAAGGCTTTCTCTCGGCGGTTTTCCATCCCCTGAGGAACCGGTGCGGCTGGGATTTGGCTGTGGGTCAAGTTCCCCAGGGCGGGAAGAGGCGGGATACATTTGAAAACGCCGGTAGGTTTGCAGGCCTTTGTTCTAGCCGTCAGAGCCGGGGCCTCAGATTTCCTCTCGAGACTTTGGAGCCCCTCACACTGAGGTAATGACCTCGGGTCTCCTCAGCAGAGGGTCTGGGGAGCGGCGGCAGCTGTGCACGCAAAGCCGCCGTTTTAAAACGGCTTTGTTGGAAACACTTCAATGAACGGTTCTCAAATCCCAGCTGCTCTTTTTAGAGCGATGTTCAAAACGACCAAATTCTAGCACAATGAGAGAATTCAGGTGAGCCCTTGGAGTTGTTTGTTTTAAACAAGTGAGTAAATTATTCAGCTTGACTGGATGACACTCAGTTTGGTTTCACTACACTCGTCCCTCTTCCCTCCAACTCAAAAAATATTTTAAATAAGAGACATGAAGATGCCGAGTCACTTGTCTTACGGACCTACTAGTAAGACTGTTGTATTCCTTTGTACTAGGCTTGCTTATTTATATTAAAACACGAATCCATGCCAGTTCTGTAGGCTGAAATGATACTTAATTTTTAGCTTGCTTTTCTTGCTTCATGCATTGATTTATCCAATAGAGTCCTGGATTTTTCCTCTTTGCAAACATTCGAAGAAAGCCTTTCTTCACCATGTAAGAGTAGTCGCTGAGCTTCACTGGAAGAGAGTATTAGTTCTAATGATCTACAGGCACAAAGAAACTCAATAAAAACTTGCTAATGGACCAAAGCCATATTTCTCATTAGAAAGGAAGCTGGCAGGTCTAGCCCAAGAGTTAATGAGTAACTGCATGAAAAGAAGCTCAACATCATTAGCCATCAGGGAAAATGCAAGTCAAAACCGCAATGATATACCACTCCATACCAATTAGGATGGCAAAAATAAAAAAGATAAGTGTTGTGGATGTGGAGAAACTGGAACCTTAATACATTGCTGATGGGACTGTAATATGGGGCAGCTGCTTTGGAAAACAGTCTGGCAGTTCCTCACAATGTTAAGCACGGAGTAATCATATGACCCAGCAATTCCATGCGAAGGTATAAACTCAAGAGAAATGAAAACTAATATCCACAAAAAAATAAAATCCTTGTACATGAATGTGCAGTATAGTTATAGTAGCCCCAAAGTGGAAACAACCCCAATGTCCATTATTTAATGAATGGATAAATAAAATGTGGTCGCCGAAACCGGTTTGGCTCAGTGGTAGAGCGTCGGTCTGCGGACTGAAAGGTCCCGGGTTCGATTCGTACATTGGTTGCGGGCACATCCCCAGTAGGGGATGTGCAGGAGGCAGCTGGTCGATGTTTCTCTCTCATCGACGTTTCTAGCTATCTCTCTCCCTTCCTCTCTGTAAAAAATCAATAAAATATATATTTTTAAAAATGTGGTCTAGCCATACAATGGAATATTATTTAGCCAAAATAAGAATGAAGTACTGGCCCTGGCCCAGTAAAGTTGGTTAGAGCCTTGATCGGCAACTGTGGCTCTTTCGCCCTTTAAGTATGGCTCTTCCACAAAATACCACGGCATAGGGCGAGTCTATTTTGAAGAATTGGCGTTAAAAGAAGTTTAAAAATTTTGGCTCTCAAAAAAAATTTCAATCGTTGTACTGTTGATATTTGGTTGTTAGTGTTGTTTCCCATATGTCAAGGTTGCGAGTTGGATCTCTGGTCAGGCAAATACAAGAAGCATCTGTTATTGTAGACAGAGGGAGTACCTGGGAGTCTCTCCCATTGGCCAAGAAGGTGGCAGGTAGAGGTGCTCCCTAGAGTCAAACTGGACCCTCCATCCAGAGGATATTAATCCGGAGGTCTCAGGGAGGATCTCAGTAGAACATTCATCAGCTTTCCAGGTGTGTCCTTTCAGGGTCGTTATCTCTACTGGTTAGTCGGCGCCAGGGCAGAGGGCATGACTCAATGTAGCTGGTCCTAATGTGAGCCATGACGTTGCTTGTCTGGTTTTGCAGCTTTTCTGGGCCTGGAGTTGAAACATATCTGAGGCCTAGATGTACTGGATGCGGGTCAGAACCTCATTGTCCTAGGAACTTAATGCTTAAGGGCTTTTTTCAGCCTCTTTGTTTTGTTCCTCTTCTAAAGGAATCTAACCCTCATGACTAGAAACAGGCCACCATGGAGGAAAGGTCAGGGGAGGGTCCGAATACTTTGACCAGTGATATGCTGGTATGACCGGTGATATGCTAGGGGAGGACAGTTACCCTGGGGGCAAGGTCCCTGTTTTCCCAATTTTGCTTGCTGCTAGGCACACCCTGGTGACCTTCTGTACTTAAGCCCCATCATCCTTGTTCTGCTCATGCCTATCTAACTGCTTACCACAATTCCATAAATGTGAAATGTCCAGAATAGGCAAATCCATAGAGACAAAAAGTAAGATAGCAGTTGCCTAGGGTTGAGGGATTGAGGGAGGGGTGTGGAAATGGAGTGACTACTAATGGGGACAAGGTTTCTTTGGGGAGATGATGAAAATGTTCTAAAATTGATTGTGGCGATGATTACACAACTCTGTAAGTATGTAAAAAATATTTAATTGTATAATTTAAATTATACAATTGTATATGTATGTGAATTGTATATGTATGATATGTGAATTATGTTTTTTTTTTTAAATATATTTTTACTGATTTCAGAGAGAAAGAGCAATAGAAACATCAATGATGAGAGAGAATGATTGATTGGCTGCCTCCTGCAGGATCGCCCCCTAATGTGGATCTAGCCTGCAACCTGGGCATGTGCCCTTAATCGGAATCGAACCCAGGACCCTTTTGTCTGCAGGCCACCGCTCTATCCACTGAGCCAAACCAGCTAGGGCTGAATTATATCTTAATAAAGCTGTGATAATAATCCTATATAATAAAGATGTGATATGTAAATTGACCATCACGTTCTCACAAGATGGCTGCCTATATATAACCAGGCTGGCAGGGGGGTTAGTGAGGGATGACCAAAGGAGCAAATAGAATGCAGTTCACAATCTCTAAATGTTTGAAATTGGAACCCCCTAAAGCTTGAGAGGCATTTTTAAATACGGTATCTAATCTTTATTGATTTCAAAGAGGAAGGGAGAGGGATAGAGAAATAGAAACATCAATGATGAGAGAGTGTCATTGATTGGCTGCCTCCTGCATGTCCCCTACTGGGGATCGAGCCTGAACCCAGGCATGTGCCCTTGACCAGAATCGAACCTGGGGCCAACCACAGGTCAACGCTCTATCTACTGAGCCAGACCGGCTAGGGCTAAACTTTTTATAATAATAACAACACTTTTTTAGGTGTGTACTAGTTGTACCAATTGTGGTTTAGGAAAATGGTTTGTTTTCTAACAGTCATAGCAGTTCAATACTTTGTAATTCAGAATCAAAAAATATTATCAAGACAGGTGGGATAACTTACTGCAATTCAACTACTTTCTTAAGATGTATTGGGGCTGTTCTATGATTTTTTTTTAATCCCTCACAAAATTTTTTTATTGAATTCACAATGTGCTTAAGTCAAATAATTTCAAAGTTCCAAATTCAAGAAGCAGCCATTTAAATTTTTAAATTTATTTATGGATTTAGAGAGAGAGAGAAAAGAAACATCATTCATTGATTGATTCTTATATGTGCCCTGAGCAGGGATTGAACCCCAAACTTTGGCATATCAAGATGATGCTGTAACCAACTGAACCACCCAGCCAAGGCTAAAAAATTTTTTTAAGTTACTAAACAATCTGTTTATTTCAACATGTGTATTCATAGGACAAGAAGGTAGAAAGCTAGCTATTTTTATTCTAGCGATGGTTTTTATTATAGGAGTTACTGATAAATCATGGGAGATCTTACAAACTTTTGCAAAGTTGGTTAGCTTGCTATAATAAGCCATTTTTTATTTTGGAAAATTTCAAGCATACACATATGAAGCAAATAGAATGGTTTAATGAAGTCCCATGTATCCATCACCCAGTTTTAACAACTCTCCACATTCTGTCATTCTTGACTTAAATCCAACTCTCACATGTCTACCCACTCCCCACCCACCCCACATCTGAGTTATTATAAGTTGCATTATTAAATTAGTGCATGACTGGTTGCCTAGCTATGATCCAAATGAAAGTATCTGAGGATTGGATCTGGTTTGCTATGTTGTTTTTATCCTTGGTCACCTTCACAAATGTAACTATTTACCCAAAGTAATCCATCTTCTTTGTGGCCATTGCTTAAGTTTCATGACTTAAAGGAGTAAAGAGATTCTATAACTATCCTAACCTGAGTTTGTAAATGCCAAAGTTGTAAATAGGTGATAAAATCTACCCACTGGTGCCTTGACTGGTGTGGCTTAGTTGGTTGAGCGTCATCTCAGTGCACAGAAAGGTCTCCAGTTCAATTTTCAGGTCAGGGCACATGCCCAGGTTTTAGGTTTCTCTCTCACATCTCTCTCTCTCTCTTCCTCTTCCCTCCCTTCTTCCCTCCCTTCTCTCATCTCTCTCTAAAGTAATTTTTAAAAAAATCTACTCACTGGTAGAGTGAAAAGGCATCTCTTCACTGGAATGCTTAAGCCAGGTCTTATCTGAATCCTGGCTGTCTGATTGACATCTGCTACAGGAAAATCCATTTCAACAATACATACTGCACTTTAGAGAGTAGTTGGAGAACAGATGGTTCCACAGAATCATTTGTTTTGGACTCAGAATCTTTATGGAATTTTTCTGGTTAATTA